AAGAATAACTTGACTTTGTTCTAATTGCCATCATGGTCACACCAGCCTGTCTACCGTCTTCATGGCAGTTTTCACTACCTGAAGCTAGGTCACTTGTCTACCTTTCTCGCGTTACGGGAAGGTGAACTCCGCCAGCACAAGGGCCCTGAGTGCCCTGCTCTCTCACCAGCACCCAGAAGGACGAATGCCTCCCTCCAGCAACTAGGGCTGGTCCTCTAGGAAAGGTTCCCTCTAGTTGAGAATGAGTGGCGATCTCACCCCCCCTGCTCTGACGCCCCCGCCCCCCGCAGACAGCCCGGGTGGTGTGGGGAGCGTGGGAGCTCGGAAGTCGTTCTCTGATTGCCGAGAATGGGGTGGAGGCGGAGCGCACTGGGCCGTGCCCGCCTTCGGGGTGCTCGCAGGTGAAAAGGTCTGCCCTGCACATAAGAATGAGATCGTTTAATTCCCGTGGGAAGGAGACAGTGGCCTGCAGGACATTCTGCGGAGTTTGTGGCATACGGGACCTGCCTGGGTGCAGCCCACACCTGGAAGCTGTTTGTCAGGAGCTGACCATGTCCCTTCTGAGGGCTGAGCGGTGGCACTGCACCCTGGCCTGGCTGTGTCGCATGGAGCCCAAGGCCTCAGTTCTCGCTTCAGGGACTTTTCGGGGGAGGCCAGAGACCCAGGAATTCCGGGGACGCTCAGGTGGAGCTTTGAGGAGGTGCTTCTTGGTCCGTGATGAAACGAGAAGAGCAAGGACTATCCAGCGACTCTTCCGCAGAGCTAATTTCATTCAACCTGAAGAATTCTTTATTTTCATTTTAGAATTTTCCAACTAAAAAACCACACTGTTCCTGAAGTCTAAAGGCCTGGGAACCACTCACACCACCGAGAGATTCCAGCGACGGCCACGAACGTCACGTCATCGCCGAGTCTGTGTTTCGTCCTCTGATGTTACAAGGCCAGTGCGACAGGCCGGGCAAGCAGTCCTCCGTTCAGAGGTGCACCTCGAGGAGAAGGACCAAACCAGCTTGTGCTCCCAGGGGCCCGCTGTGCACCCCGGCCTCTCCACCCTACAGTGCACACGGCGACACGAGACTTGGCTACAGAGCCCAGAGACAGCAGGGTGTCACGGGCCCTCGTGAGGTGTGTGACTCCACAGGCCACCCGTGCATCACGGCGCCCGGTGACAGTGCTTCCTCTAGCACAGGAATGTCCTGTCATCGAGGGGGGAGAGGGGACCACAGGTCCCAGAAGCCTCCTCTGTGCCAGAATGATGGGGACACGGACCTGCCTCCAGGGACTTACACCGCCTCCTACTGGAGACAGCCTGGTCAACAACGGCGAGCTTCAGCCTGGAGCATTTGGCTGATGGGAAGAACCCTGGAAAGGCAGGAACCGGTTCCCTCTTCTCCTACAGCTACAGAAGTGCAGACACTTCACACCTCACAGTACTCTGATAGAGCGCAGCTGGGGGAACCACGAACGTACCCACCTTCGTCTGCTCTCCAGTGTGGGGACCTGTGCAAAATATACTCCTGTTTCTGCAGAACAAAGCCTTGGGGACACCTGCGGATTGTGGCGAGGAGCTGGACCACGTACCCTTCACCCTCCAAAAGGCTGCTTCCTGACTGGCCGCCTTACTTGAAAATTGGCTGTCCTGGTCACAATAGTCCCAGTAGCAACTCTGATTTTTCTTTTCCCTGACAAAATAAGTACTTGTAAGGGTTTCTTGTTTTGGTTGGCTAGAAGAACTCAATATTCTTACCCTTTCCCTTCACGCATCAAGTATAAATAAGAATGTACTTCTTGTCCAAACTCAGCGCGAGTGTCTGCGTCTAACTGAAGTGATCACACTCGGACTCAGTGGAGCGACAACGCACACAAGCATCGGCTGGACCCACGTGCCAGAGACCAGCAGAGAGGAACTAGTCCTAAAAGCGTTCCTAAAACTTAAGTACTTAATTCCGAAAAACCGTCTCTAACTTCTTCCTGAAGCGATCGTGTGCAGAGAGCATTTACTGGGAACTGCTGGCTCCTGGGCCACAGACAGCATCCTGCTGCCCTACCCCCACCCCCACACACATACTGTGACTGACGGTGGCCTAACCTTGTTCTGACCCACAGACCGTTCCGAGTGTTGGGAAGTTATCATTCCCAGGGCTGGCTTAGCACAAACAGGACACATCTTTTTCTTTAAACCCGAAGCCCCTATTCACTAATCTTTCCAGTGCCCAGCAACACTCTCCCCAGCTCTGTTCACCTTCAGCTGTTGACAAATCCGAACACCACGCAGACCTGCTGCAGAAAGTCCAGTGCAACTTCCCGGAGGTGGCCATGACTGCACTTTCGGCTATGAAATTTGAGTCATGTTTGAGTGAGGAAATAAACAGAAGCTAAAATGCAGAGTAAGCGTAAGAGGCAGCCTTTAATCAGTATCTTTAAAGAAGTATTCCAGCTAAGAAACAAATCTATTCACCTTCACAACCTGCTGACTCCTCAAAGAATGACTGACATCATTCCGTTTTTAAGAGCTTTTAAAAAGACTCCTCTGTTCGCCTCCATAGCAAAGGGCATGCTTCCTCTTGACTGAATGTTTACTATAGAAAACAAAAGCCACAGGAAGAAATACAAATCACGTGTAATTGAAAAGAGTCTTTTAAAGCAAAACACTGATGTGTGAGCACTTTATTACCTGTGAAGCCCCATACACATGCAAAGTGGGATCAGAAACCTCTCCGACCCCAGGCTGGCCTCTACCCAGTGAAGTTCTTCCCAGGGTTCAGGTAGGTGTCTGAGAATGTTCCGTCCACAACTGCAGAAGCCGGAGTAAGAAATGAAGAAGAACCACAGTGCCCTCCAATCCAGTTCCAGCGGAACTCCGAGTCACCGCTTGGAAGGCTTCCCCTCAGCCCGTGGTGCCTCCCAGAGCCATCCTGCCCCGCGGGAACCGGCTTATCCGGAAACGCCACAGGGAAACAGCAGCCCCTTCTTCCCACGGCTGGAGGTTCTCATAAGCAACTTTTGCTCTCACGTCAAAGTGAAGTCTGTCTTCCTATAAGCACCACTTGTCCCCTTCTGTGCTCTGAAATTGCTCTAAATACATAGAATCCCTTCGCTGCCCGTCAGACCCTGAACACTTGGAGACAGGCAGGACGCGGTCACTTCCCTGCTCAGACTTTTCTGCAGCTTTCGACATCAGAGCTGGAGGTGCGAAAGTCAGTGCCACTGCTCCATCTGCCTAGCCAGGCCAGGCGGTCTGAGCCAGGCGTCACTGCACCTCCGAGTGGGAGGCACACGGGGCACCCAGCAACTGCCTTTAAAGTATGTAATTGGGTAGATACTCATCATATCTTAATTAATAAACATGTGTGTCCACTATGCATTAGGAACTTTAAATGGCTGACCTTACTCCAGATAGTAAGAAAAAGGCCCGTGTCTTTCTTGCCAGAAATATGAGAAAAGGCTCTGTAATATAAAAACAGCTATTTCTTGAGAGAATGAACACGGTGTGGTTGCAGAGGCACTCCACCAGGCAAGGGATGGCGCAGATAAGACGATTTTAACCAACGACAGAGTGAAGAACCCAAATGATCTTCTATAGCAATAAAGTAACTCATTTGTTTTTTAAGATAATATCTAGTTTCCAAGAAACTTGTTTGTTAGATTGATGTATTTACATGTGCTACAGTAAAAATGTGATAGATAAGTGTTCTGTACTGTCAGTTTTAAATATAATGAAACTAAATTTACTAAGTATGACATGATGCAGGAGAATAAAAAAAACTATTAAGATTTTTCAGTACCGTGTATGTATACGTAAACACACGTATATATCATAAGCCCTAAAACCTTTCAAAAATATTTCACCCAAGTTGAACATTTAGCCAAAAGAGATACATAAATTAAAAACAAAATCTTTGGAGGTAAAAAACAAAACAAAACAAAACAACCTTCACATGTTAGCATCTTTTTCCTTAAAATTCAATGGCAAGAAAATGCAGGCGAATTCTTGACTGTGCACACACACACACACACACACACAAATTAATGAAACAATCACAATGGTCTTTAAATACATTTTGAACTTAAAAGTCTTAAAAACCGGCAATTCTTGAACGCCCTTACAGGTAGGTTTCTGGAAATGCGTAACATCAAGTATTACAGCCCTGGTAGCTTGTGTTTCGTTATAGGACCTACACTACAGAGCACGATTCTAGTATTTTCCCTTAGGCCATGTCATTTCCATTCCTGGAACAGATCCCACTGCTAACTATTAAAGCTTGACATTAAGACAGGCCGGCATGAACGCCTAAGTTGGATAAACCAGAGCGGTAACTCCCTGGAGCCCGCAGCAGCTCCGGGGCCGGCCTGGAGCTCGGCCGCAGGTCGGCACTGCGCTCGGTTTCGCGAATCACAAACGAGCCGTTATTTAGGGTACACCGCAGCCCCCCTGCCAGCTGGAAAGGGCAGGAAGGTAGAGCACTCACGTCCAGGGCCTTATCGGAGAAGGTCTCTAACGTCCCCCGGGTGCGAACGCGCATCTGAAAAGGCGCGGCGGAGGCAGACAAAGCAGGGCCGGGCCGGGCCGGCGCGCCCGGTGCACCTGCAATGCGGATCCTCACCCGGCCGGCCCGCCCGCCCCGCGGGAGCGGCGCCGGCCCGGCCTCTCCCGCCCCATCCGATTGGCTTGGGCGCGCGGCGCGGCCGGTCCGCAGCCTGGACCGGAGCCCGGGCCAGCGCTCCCCGCGCCCCGGAGCCCGCCGGACGACCCTGCAGGCGGCCGCGCGGGGGGCGCTGCGCAGCGCTTTGGCCCCCTTCCCGGCACCTCGCCGGCCCCCCGAGTTGTCTGCGTAGGGGACACCCTCCCCCCCGCGCCCCGCGGCTGGGACGCGGGACCCTTCCCATCTCCGGGAATCCCCGTCCCGACAGGTGCCCCGCCGCCGCCGCAGAGCCTCCCGCAGGTACCGCCAGGTGAGCGGGGCTGGACTCGGACTCGGCCCACCTCGGGCCCCGCTCACCTGCGGGCGCGGCCGTCGCGGTCCTCCAGGCGGCTGCCCCCTCGCGCGGTCCTGCGGGCGGGCGGCGGCGGGGACCGGCGGCCCATGGGCGGGGCGGCGGGCGGGGCTGGCTCCGCTCCCGCCCTGCCCGGCCCCGCGGCCGAGGGCGGTCAGTGGGCGCCGCCCGCCGGGCGCATCTCGCCCGCTCGCACCCGAGCGCTCGCCGCGGTGCACGCTGGGAGCGGAGCCGGGGCGAGGCCTGGCCGCGCAGACGGGGCGGGCGGCGGCGGCGCCGGCGCGGCGGCGGGTCTGTGTCCGCGGGGAGGGGCGGCGGAGGCCGAGCGATACTCACTGGGCAGGGCGGGGGCGACGCCCCGCTCCCGCGGCGGCGGCGGGGCCGGGGGACGCGCCGCGGGGAGGGAGGGTCTGGCCGGCGGGACGCAGGCGCACAGCTCAGGTGCGGCCGCACTGCGGTTGCCCGGGGTAACGCGGCCCGGGCGGGGCCGGGGAGGGAGGAGCGAGGCGGCGAGCGGGAGCGCGCGCGCCGGGCCGGGTGCGGGGCGGTGAGGGGTGGGCACCCGGGACCGGACGGGGGTTGGGGGGAAGGGCGCGCGCGGGCGGCCGAGGGGCGGGGGCAGGCGCGGGGGCCGGGGCGCGGGCGGGCGGCGCGCATGCGTGCGGCCCCGCTCCCCCGGGGCTGCCGGCCTCGTGCGTGCGCACGCGCGCTGTCCCCCGGAGGCGTCTGGGTGTGCGGAGCGCGCGCGCGCGGCTGGGAGGCGCACCTGTGAGGTGTCCCTAGAGGAGGGCGGTGGGTGCGCGGAGCCCGCGGCCTGGGCGCCCCAACCCCGCGCTTGCAGTGAGTTCCGGGCGGCCGCGCTGCCGCCTCTTCGCTTCCCTTCTGGGCAGAGGCGGGGGCGCCGGGCTGCGGTGGGGGCAGGGGAGTGGGCGCGGGCGGGACGCGGGACGAGCGGGTTCCAGCGAAGAAAAACAGCCCCTCGCTCCCCGGGCCTCGAGCCGGGCCGGCCGCGGGCGTCGGCGGGGAGGTCGGGCCGCCGCGCGGCCTGGCGGCCCCTGGGCAGGCCCCGCGCGGGGCAGCCGGCTCTCGGGCCTCCGCGCCCGGCGTGGGCCCGCCGTGCCGGCTGCGGGCTGCGGGCCGCGGGGCTCCCCGATGGCGGCGGGCGAGGCCGGGCGAGGCCCCGCGGGAGCCGGACTCCCGAGCCGGGCCCATTGTTGTCGCAGCCGGGGGAAGGGGGAGCAGCACGGCTTCGGAAGCCCGTGAAGCGGCGCCTTGGAGCCCTTCCAGGCGGGTCCCGGGAGGGCGGCAATGGCCGCGCCGGGGGAGCGGGGCCGGGCTGCGGCGCGAGGCCCCGCTGCAGGGGTGATGTCTGTGTTTCAGGGCGCCTCGCGGCCCCGCGGAGCCCGGCAGCGTCCTGCGCAGGTGATGAGCAGCCCCCGGCGCCCCCGGCGCGGAGCGCAGCCGCCGCCGGACGCCTCCATTGTCTGACCACAGGCAGGGCCGCGTCTCCCCAGGTAAGCTGACGGCAGCCCGCGCAGCCCCCCGGCCGCAGGGACCCCCCTCTTTCGGGACTCCAGTGTTCCCCCTGCTTCTGAGGAGCTCAGGACGCCCGCCTCCCAGACATGCTCTCCTCTGGGTCCCTCTTCCCGCACCTCTCGGCCCTGACCCCTCATTCCCCCCAAAACTCAGCTCCTTTGTGAAACCTTCCTTGCGGAACTCCAGCAACTGGATCGCTCGAGGAGGAGCCTGCCCCGCACTCTTCCAGTCGATCGTTTGCTTATTGGTTGTCTGACCGCAACAAAGGAGGCTAGATGCTAAAGAGGGAAAGAAAAAAAAATTCTGTGGCCTTATTTACTCTTTTTTTTTTTTTTTTTAAAGGACCCTCTTGTGATATGAAGACTGTCTATTGTTTTAACAGGATTGAACTGTTTTTGTTTCGTTGTTTTGTCTTCTTTAGCCGGCGGGGTGGTGGGGGGGTCCCTATTTCCTTTATAGATGCGTAGCTCTTTTAGAGCAGAAAAAGGACCTTGTTCCACCCACAGGTTGATTTAAATATTTAACATTAATTTTAGGCGAGTCCAGCAATGCATTTTCTTGGTAAAAATGAAAGCGTCACCCAGATGGCTCACGTCTTTGACTCCCAACCCCTGTCTCCAGATAAAACCACTATTCATGTGGTTGCTGTGCATCCTTCTAGATCTTTAAAAAGACCTGTACGGGTGTGTACTCACTCGCATTACCTTTAACCACTCCCGGCGTACGCTGCCTTGCCTTTTCAGCATGTAATGGATGGGTTAACTCACTTTGAAGAACTGCTTCATGTCCCATGGTTTGGGTAGACTGTCGTTCAGTCGGCCGTTTCCTAGATTGATGGCGATTTACGTTTTAACTTTATGTTTAAAACAGCTCTTCTGGGTGGTGGCTCTCTGGTGAAGCGCAGTTCTAGTGAAGGGAGCACAAACCCACACGTTAGAGAGAGCAGGCGGTCATGATGGAGGTTCTCTTTATAAGGACTCCCAGGCAGGAGCCTCTGTCCACCCTTCCCCCATTGTCATTAAGACTACCGCTTTCAAGTCCTGTGACCTTGGGCAGGACACTTGATCAGGCAAACCTCAGTTTTCTCTTCTATACGTGGTGACAGCGCCTGCTCCATTCACCCCACGGAATTCAGTGGCATGAAGGGTACGGGCAAGTGCTCTGTAGAGTGGAGCGTGGTCTGTAATTGTTGGTTCTATTAGCTTTTATGACCCAAAGGACTTTTTATTTGCAACGTAATTTATACATACGGAGTACTAGAGATAGCCAACTTTGAATGCTTTTTAATTCGTGAGCTTGTTATAAATTTTTATCAAGTGCTGTTAACCCCTTAGACTTTTCGAAGGACATTTGGCAAAGCACATTTCTCCTAGTGCTTTACCTGTTGTAAAAAACAACAACAAAGCGTATAGATCAGTTGAGTGTGAATAAAGTCTCAGCAAATCGAACAGGACATAAAACAAAACTGAGCTCTCACTGTAACGTGACCAGAACTTGTTTCCTAGAGACACAAACGCGTGTGTGTGTTTTCGTGGCAGTAGCAGTCGGGTTAGCTTGCACGTCCTTCCGGTAAAGTGGATTCTGACTGAATTTGTAGGCAGTGTCGGGAAGAATTAGCAGTTGGGATATTGATTGCACGATGTGATGGATATCATTTTAAGATGTACGAGATGCAGTTGGGTTTCGAAGGTATGTTTCTTCCATTCATTTATGTGTGAGTGCGTGTAGCGTGGCCAGCAAAATCAGCATGCCCCTCTTCTCTTGGAGTTTATGATCTGTGGGGTGGAGGGTGTCAGAAACGAAATGCAGTCACACAGACTACGTGTATAATTGCAACCGTGGTATCTGCGATGAAAGTTGAGGGCCAGCTATAAGAGTGAAAAAGAGGACCAGATTTTAGACTGGAGAGAGGGTCCAGGACAGACATTTTGGAAGTAGGATGTCAGCTGAGATCTGAAGGGAGAGTAGGTGATAGTGTAGAGAGAAGTGGGGGTAGTTTTCCAGGCCCGGGAATGGCATGTGGGAAGGCCCTGGAGGGAAAATGCTTTGCCCATTTCAGGAGCTTGTGGGTGGATTATGGTGGGTGCGAGGAAGTGGGCTAGGCAGAGGGCCTCTAGATCATGCAGGGTCTTGTAGGGTAGGTTAAGGGGGTTTTATTTTATCCTGAGTGAAATGGGAAACCATCCCAAGGGTTGGGTTTTGAGCAGAGGAATGACATAATCAGATTTGCATTTTTCAACAACCACTCCAGCTGCTACATGCAGAATGTGGGGGTGTTGGGGGTGGGGAGTGGAAGTGGGGGAGACTAGGTAGGCCATTTCAGAGGTCTGTCTAGACCAGAGGCCGTCTTTCCCCTGGAGTTCACACTGAATTCAAGCTACCAACTAAACTAAGGTCAGATAGATACTTTATTATTCTTTTAAAAAGTCCTCATTTTTTATCTTTTAAAATGTGGAGTGAAAAGGCACTTTTTTAATGCAAAACAGTACCTATAAACGTTAAATGAACTGTCCACACTATACTTAACAACAAAGTTTGAGTCAAATTAAAAATTGGGAAATTATTTAACATGGTTTTTAAAAGTTTTGTCAAAACAGTAATACATGGAATAAGAGGGAGGTTAGGATCTAAATGGAAAGAAGGGAAATATTCTGTAGATGCTTTTGGCTACAAAAATGAGAGTAATTGAAAAACAGACAATGACTAGGTACACAGTACATATATAAAATTCATAGCTTTCTGAATATCAAAAATAACCGGGCAGAGCCCTGGCCAGTTTGGCTCAGCAATTAGAGCATCAGCCCATGGAATGAAGAGTTGTGGGTTCAATTCTGGTCAAGGGCACATACCTCGGGTGCAGATACCTCGGGTGCAGTTTGGTCCCCGGCCCTGGTTGGGGTCGTTCAGGAGGTAACCAGTCGATGTGTCTGTCTCACATCGATGTTTCTCTCTTTCCTCCCACTCTATCTGAAGGTAAAATGGAAAAATATCCTTGGTGAGAATTTAAAAAAATAAAATAAAAATAAAAAGTTAAGTCCTTTAAAAGAAATAACCTGGCAGAAAGTAAAATGGAAAATGAAAAACAGGCTCTGACCACACTGCACAGATGACATGGCGCGTGAGCCCAGGCCGCTGGACCATGTGTGTCCTGAGAGGTCGAGAGGGTGTCGTAGATGGAAGGGCAGGCCGTGTTCCCGGGCGTGATGTTTAAACACAGAACTGGACAGAATGATTATGAATAAGGAGGAGGGACAAGCCCTACCTGATATTTACACATGATGAGGTGTGTTCATTTAAACTAAGGTCTAACCCTGGCTGGTTTTGCTCAGCGGTTAGAGCGTCAGTCTGTGGTCCAGAGAGACCCGGGTTCGGTTCCCGCTAAGGGCATGTACATATCTCGGTTGCAGTTTGCCCCCGGCCCTGGTTGGGTCATGCGGGTGGCAGCCACTCGATGTGTCTCTTTCACGTTGATGTTTCTCTCTCTCTCTTCCTCCCGCTCTATCTGAACAAAAAATGAAA